AATTTGGTTATTTGTAATCTTTTTATCTACTTGCAATCCTTTCACAGCCAAGACAAAGAAAAGGAGGACGAAGTACTCATAACTCTCTGCCTCCGAAAACAAGCTAAAGAATACATGAGGAATAAGCGGATTAAAGCTTATGATTATCGTGTAAAAACAGTCGGCTATAAATGGATGAAAACATTTATGTATCAAGGATTCTCATACGTTTTCTCACTCGCATTCTCTCACTTATTGTTAGTTACGCTACCCACACACGCTTCGTTTTCTTTTGATTCCTTTCATTTCTACATTCTTTCCAGAGACACGGTTTTGCCAATTATAAATATTGAAATATCTACTTAATCTGCTGATAGATAACTTGTACAGAAGACTGTCGCTCGGTTTTAGCTTATACAGAAAATATTCGCGATATTCAGGGTGTCCCAAATTTACTGTACAAACGGGAAATAAGAGGTTCCTTAGGTCATTTGAAGTAACTTTTTCCTTAGCGAAAATGCAATCCGCGGCTTCGTTTAGGAGTTATTGAAGAAAAACAGTAACCAATGGGAGGTGAGATTAGCTAGCGCGAGGCGACCGAATCAACGAGCGGTTGAAGCCGAGATCGATTCTCATTGGTCAGTGTTTTTCGTTAATAACTGGCGAACAAAGCCGTGAATTGCATTTTCGCAAAGGAAAAAGTTACTTAAAATGACGTCAGGAAGCCCTCATTTCTCGCTTGTACAATATTTTTGGGACACCCTGTTGAGAACAAGTAAACTAATAAGTAAACAGTATATCGTTAAAATACAAACAAAGACTAATGGACGTTTTTTCTTCTTACTTCAAAGTATTAATTGATCGATGGAGTACATTTTTCCCTTTTTATTTTCATTTCAAGATAATTTATAAATTATTGTATCGCGTGAAATAAAAGAAAGCTTCGAACGATACAGTTTATGGCATTGAAAACATTTTCACTTGTACTAAAACCAAGCGACTATCTTCCGTATACATATGATAATCCATCGTTAAGTTATCGATCTTTAAAGATATTTCAACATCATCGAAATCGATATCAGATTGTTTCGCATCCGCATAATTACAACGATTTAACCTCGGCATCAATTCTTATCTATTACAAACTGCAAAACGTTCTTCGGTAATTGGGCGAAAACTCACGGCTTTACAGACTAGAGGTGCGACGTATGCTTATGTATACGTTATAAAAATATAGTAAAGTTTATTGGTTATGGTTTTAATCGAGTTTTTTCGTCTCGAAAGTAGAAACGCTTTCTTTCAACAAAAAGAGAAAATCGTGACGAAATTGGCTTGATTAAATCAATTTCGTCACGAAAATCGTTGCTTTCGTTTCTCGCATTTGTTTCACCGCATTTGTATAAATATCTCGATAGTTTGAGGGTGGATGGTGCGATCATTATATGGACGAGGAAAGAATGCAGAAAAAAACATCTCATTATCAACTAAATAATGGAAATAAAATGAGAATTTCAATGTTCCAAATGTAGAAGCAAGATGTGAACTGGAACTCCGTTGTTATTAGATTGCGGATCATTATGGATTTATCGCTAACGAAAATGTCTAAAAATATTGAAATATATTTTTCATTTATTTTCAGTCAATAAAGGCTATTAACACATTGACGGCCGCGCCGAAAACATCTCAAAATATTTCAGAGAATTAAAGTATTTTAATCAATTAAATTAAACTTGCAAAGCAAAGTTATATGACGTCGACCAAATAAAATTAAGAAATTTTTATGGATTCGCATAGAAATTAAATTTTAAATAATTTCGTCACCCGCGTACGGGTGACGCGGCAATCGAAGTGTTAATGGTGAAACTATGATTTTTCTTGGTTACGGTTTCTTCAATCTTGACCACAAAAATAACAAAACAGCAAAAACATACGCAGTCTATCGTTAAATTTTTCGTTCTTCTACAGTTCGTTCGATCCAAAATGGCTGCCAGTTAGGAAGCAGGATTTCGATTCCTCGAGCAAGCAATCGAAAAATTGCACCAAGTTGCAGTGAAAAGTAATTGAAAAACCCTTGTTTCAGATATCGATTAAAACTCGAGAAGTGTAAATTAGAGATTTAATCACCGACAATATTATCGACAATATCGTTAAGAGATAACGATAGTATCAGCAATTTTATCGATGATCGTTAGTCGCATCTCTAGCATGCATAAAAATATAAACACTTTCTTATAGAACCATTTGAAATCATAGACTTATAAGAACATAAGACTTGTAAGAAGTAAGTAATAATACTTGTAAGAACAGAATTTCGTATAATAATTTTGTCAATAAAGTTTGAGCCGAAATGCATAAATTCGTTTAACAGATTCACTCGGTACGTTCATTAAACTTGTATAATGCATTGCGTTACAAAGTAATAGTTACAAAGTAATGACAATTATTGTTTCAATGCGGGGAGCTTCGTGCGAATAATACAATGCAGAACAAAGCAAATACTTTTATTAAAACTCGTTTAATATTAACATTCAATATAAAACTATTTATCGGTAATAATTTAATAATCAAATGTTATAATATTTCAAGTGCCTCTCCGTATTTTTTAACTCTCTGAAAATAAGTATCCAGATTTGTACATCGAGAAATATGGTTATTATGTTAGATGTCATCTTTCATTTATAAACCACACGTTCAATGAACAATGAGGACAGTGATCATTCCTTTTAACAACAGTCGTCCGAAGTATACCGAAAGATAATTTTGAATTGAACCATGAAAACAAAGATTGTAGTAATATTCACACATTTAACATCGGTATTGTAATCTTCATCGTAATTCTACGTCAACGGACGATATTTAAGAAGTACTTCGCGATTTTAATTTCTACTATAAACGAAATACAGTAATATTTCCCTAATTGACGCTCAGATTGTGCACAAAAATAGACAATTTGGGAAGAGGAGGTACGATTATTTGAGCCTTGCGGCTCGTTTTTATAGTTACCAATTGTCAACAACTATGAAAACGAGTCGCAAGGCTCGATTATCCAATTTGTCCATTTCTCTGTAAAATCTGTGCGTCAATTAAGGAGAATGTATTATGGCCTTAATGGAAGTTACAAAAATAGAAATCATCATTGACCCGCGTGGCTCGGAACGTGTTAAAGCTGTAACAATTCATCTGTTTTGCATGAATTTAAATTACAAAAACGTGAAATTGACAAAAGGAACACGTACAATGTTCGTAGGCGTTATTCGACTCTTATAGCCAACATGTTGGACCAAACGTGCGAGAATAACGAAATTAAGTACTCGAGACGAATCCTCGACGCAAATTGTCGACACAAAACACGTGAAATCGATCGCCGTAATCGAATCAGAAGGAATGGCACAGCGCATAAATTTTTCGACGCCCGAGACCACGGTTACATTGTTCTTTCGTATATTCCAAAGTTCCTTAACGAGGGGCATCAAAAGTTTGGCCATTTATCAGGGGATATTATCCACGAGGCGACAACTTTCAGAAACTCAAACACCGTCACCGTCTCTGTCGCGAACAGTCACGTCACAATGCTGATCTCGAGTGGCAATTGTAACTTCTTGAATGCCGTGGATGATCGTTGTTTTCGTGTAAACAGACTTGCGCTCTAACAGTACAACATTTATAAAAATCGTCAATTTTTGTTCGTCAATGGCGTATCTTGTATTTTGAAAGAGATAATTCTGGAGAGAGTTCTTTCGACATGTTAACGAGTAACAGGAACGAATCGAAATTTTGATTATCAGTTGAGTACATTTGATTTATGACAATATACTAATGTCTAATGTCGCAATTATTGACAGTGTATAGATGTGTTTCTGTGAGAAACTGTTGAATAAATCTATTGATTTCGGCAATTCTGATCAAAACAGAGAATCTTTCGATAAATTGATTTATAAAATTCATTTAACATTATAGAATTTCTATTGCACCAACATTTTCAAGAATTAATTGAATATAAGATTCAATATGTATATTTATAACAGCGTATGTATATATGTATGTATGTATGTATGTGTGTACGTATGTATGTATGTATATATGTAGACTGCGGATTTTGTGTATTTATATGAAGAATATTTGATCTCGCGAAACTCGGCACAGAGAAATGTTTAAAAAGTTTCAAAATCTTTACCGTCTCTGAAATACATATAATAGGACTTCCAATAGTGTAAACAATATTTTTTCCAATTCCATTGGTAAATTAATTCGTACAAATTTATATTTGCATAAAGACTAATAGTTACAATAATAAGTAACAAGTGATCATTTTCTGTAGCTGTCTGTGCAGAGTGTTCGTGAACTCAAGCTTTGCTGTGTACAGGCTGCGAATTTTATGCATTTACGATGAAAAAGAATAGGCGAAATACAACGCGGTAAAAACATCGGAAGAATCTAGAAATACTGTTATCTTATTTCGAATCTCTTAAAAATCGTTAAAACGGGAAATAATTGAGGTAGAAATCGTTCAGTTTGCATAAAGAACCGCAGTCTAGTTACGTGAATCGTTGATTAAGGATCGTACGGAAAGATCTTGGATATTAAACTGACGTTTCTCGAGAATCTAAAAGTTTTAGTTCATAAATTAAAAATAATTCAGTCGTATAAGCTCTTTCATATTTTTAGCTCAATATGAAAAATCTCTCACTTCTGTAGAATCGAAGATAAGGTCGGTGTCTATTGGGTTGAGTAGATGATTCGTGCAATTTGCGTACACGTTTGAAGTCCATAAATAATACAGGAATTTTAGTACGGTATTTTAATCGCGTCCGATTATTTACAATTTCATTTGATCAGAAGTATTTCCGTCAAATAGACAAAAGTTTCGAAATATGTTTCACTCAACCCGATAAAACTAAATAAACACCCGTTACTTCACAGTGGACTCCAGCTTCCGCAACGTGATGAAAATGTTCTTGGGTTTTAACGATCAACTGTCCGTAGAATTTTCAATAACTTCATCGTTTCAACACGTGGAAGAATATAGTTCTTTTTTTTATTGTTAATTAAAATAGAAATCTACTTTGTTTCGTGGATATATGTACACAGTAATTGTAGAAGGCTTCCATATCGACTGAATAATACCTGATTGTATAATATAAATATATTGGGCTTCAATAATGGTGGTTGCAATGTGTCTAACAGCAACCAAGATAAGCGATCGATGAATGATTCGGCGAACGCTTAGGATACATTTCGATAGGAAGAAACACCTTAAAAACTACCTGGCACTAGGTTGGAAGCATTATTTTACTTGTTTGTTCTTTATATTAACATTGTAACGACCGTCGACGTCGGTGCGACGTCATTCAAATTCCAGCGCGATTGATAGTAGCTTCACTCGATTTGTTCACTCATTTATTTATTAAATATTTATACTTCCTTGGATTTTACACATTCGTAATCTCTGAATTTGTTCACGCAAACGGTAAAAATGATATTTTTTAAACTTTTTGACAGCAATTGCCAGCCGTAGCGACAATTCGTTTAAAAACTAGTCGGCCGTTATAGTATTAATAACAGTTCGATAGAAATAATAATAATAATCTATCCCTATAAGGTAAATTAAAATAATCTCGTAATACGTATATACAAAAAACAGATGTAAACAGTAGCACGTGATACCAGTTGTGTTCTAAAATCAATGTAAAATTTCTCAAAATATACAAACACTTGTATTCCGATCTAACAGCGGAATTCCGTTTGTACGAACTTCATTTATATGAACTAAACTGTGTAACAATGCGAATGTGAATTTCAATTCTGTGAATTTCAATGCGATGTGAACGTGAACTCATCTTAAATGATCGAAAAATCGTGGTCAACGGTTGGAAGCAGGTGGATGGATACCTGTTACATGAACCATCCGATTATGCGAATCAACATGTCTCCCAACAGGTTCATATAAATAGAGTTCTACTGTAATAATAGTTCATATTGTCGAGCTAAATATACATATAGGTATCTCTGATGGTGAAGATACGCGTGCATCGTGTAAAAAGCGCTATAAAATATATCTATGATGTATGCTTATAGAAGACAAGAGAAAATGTCAGTGTTATAAAAGGATCGAGATTCGAAAGACATACGAGAGTCGTTTTCGAGACACACTTTGACCACCAGTACTGAGACCATACATGCACGCTTCGTTGCAAGAATTCACGCCGCACGGGCACCGTGTCTTTAATCGCGAAGTCAGGGCTTCGATCACCCTAAGTAAGATGAAACTTCGTAAACCGTCGCGTTGCACGCATTTCGAACGTTTAAAACGCTGTCTCGGTTTACCCCCAAAAGTTACAAATTTTCCGAATTGAACAAAACGGATCTTCTCTAAAACAATTAAACGAAAGTTCGTATATTGATTTTTTACGGAAAATGTTATTTGTCTTATAGTACTGTTGCGACTAAAAATGACTCTTGAACAGCGTTCCTCAATATAAACAATCGAACGGTATACATAGCATGGTTTAATATAACGTTTAACAATTTCGTCGCGGAACACGCTGTTTTTCCAAGAATCGGAGAAAAATGTGTCAAATTGGCACGAGGAATGAACGAGTTTAAGGAAATATGATGTTCGTAGGGCTCACCTAAAATAAATTCTAGTCTTTACGGACGCCTCGCACAATCGAAGGATAGGTAAACTGATAAAAGAATGTATAAAAAAAAAAGGTTTGACTTCAAGCGTTCATGCCCGTGATCATGTTTGTTAGATGTTAAATGTTAGTGAAAGCAATATCCACCAATTGACGTACAAAGCTCTCTTGGTAGTCTTACCATTCAAGTCTTTCAGCAGTGCAACTAGTTAAACAAATGCAGTTATAATATATTACATTTACATATATACGTTATATTACGCACGCGAAATACATATACTAATTCTGTGATTTGAAAATGTTATCCAAGCTGTATTTAGAAATTAAGTAAAGTATTAGCAGTTGCATAACTGCGCTTGGGGGTTTGGGCAAGATTTGGGTAAGAATAAACGAACAAGATGGAACAGATTCAATAAAATATTGAACGACGGCGAAAAGTATAAACAATGAAAGTCTCTATAGTGCAAAGAATGAAAATGCTGGGAGAGTTAAAAAAGAATGTACGTTTATTAAAATAGAGATGGCTACATTATGTCGACAATGCTGTCTCTATCATCGAATAAGAACAGCGTTTACAAGCATGATCAGCTACGTTTTGTTCTTATCTGTTCTTTTGTTCTAACGAACACGAATGCTTGAAATCAAACCTATTGATATTTTCAGACACCACACGGTATAATACTTTTCTCCCCGGCTTTCCAATGCCACAACGTAATTCGATCAACGAATGAGATAACAAAGAAACGAATTATTGCATCATCTACCCCCTCGACATAATGTTATGTACACGCGAAATATTTGCTGCTGCCTAATTCGATTTCACGGAGCAATTAGAAGTTCAAACACCCGTTTCCTCCCCGATCGTTTCACAGTACGAAACCGTGCAACGAAGCGTACATCCGTGTAGCGTACAGTTCCTTGTTCTTTATATGTATAGAAAGCACTTTATACGAAGAGAACTATTAAAAAATATAACGATATTTTTTCCATACAGGTCGTCTTACCGGTAGTTTTCATTTTATCGTATAAGTATGTGTATCGCCTATTGCCTGAAACTGATTCAAAAACGAAAATTTCGAGACCCAGCTGCAGCGATCATGATTACAAAATGAACACCGGTCGTTATTAGGCTGCGGACATTATCCAGCTATAGCGTCATTGGTCATCGAAAACTTTATCTTTGAACAAATTCAGTGACATCCTTTTTAGTCTTTCGAATACGCGCAATAGGATCTCTAAACGAAGGAATAATATATTCCGCGATTTCTCTCGATTTCTACAGAATAACACAAAAATCTATATCTGCGTAAAGATCTGCAGTCTAGCTCCTATCATCGTGTCTTAGAATGTTTTCTTGTAATTTAAATCGCTGCCAACAGAATTTTCGTGTTCGATCGTGTTATCGAATGCTACTATCGAATTGGTTCGTCGTTATTGCGGTTTGTTACTCGAGGCAGTAGCAAGATCAAAGGCTATCGGTTCGTAGCAAACGACGTTGGTGTCATCAAATTCGGCTAGTTTTCCTGATCGGCATACCTTGCGAATCAATCCACGGAACAGACGTGCTCATACGGCTCGAATCGCTGTAAATACATACGAACGTTCCGTTCTCATCGTGATCTGCCTCGAACGATCACCGGCCTAAGCGGTCTGTCGTTCGCCGTGGCTGCTCCGAAAATCACATTTTCAAAATCTCTCAATCCGTCAGTACGATTTTCCTCGGCTTCTCCTGCGCGCGATTCGACATTCCCCGATCGGAATTCGAAGAGAAGAGGAGAAACCGTCGGCAAATCCGCCGCGCTTGTCACGCGTTACTCATAAATAAAAATGTTCATTTTCGAGGGGTATCCTCTCGAAAACACCGAGTTCCATAAACCATACAAAACATCTCCACAAAATCAAGCACAGTTCGCAACGTTAAAAACCATTCTAATCAAATCGATTCCCTTAAAAAAGTAGTCAACTCGTTAGAAGACAAAAAAGAAAAAAAATAGAGAAATAAGTTACATATAAAATCGTATACATATACAGATACAAAATCGTATATACGTATACGATGTTCACCGTTCGAACCTCGTATATAGCAAACAATTCCTTTTTCCGACGTTCACCTCCGCGTTAATATAATATACTCTAGATACAAGTAGATATGCTTGTGCAAACAAGGAACAACGAACGTGTAAAAAATATCAGTCTAACGGCCGCGTCGTATTCTTCCGGTCCACTCGCAGGCTCTTTCGGGAGATGAGATGGCAGGAAGGAATAATTGACGCCATTGTGTGATCCCTGCTCGGCGATCAGGCTCGTTCTGTACAGTAGCTACACTTTAGGAACGTTTATCAATCCGTAGGCTTTCTCGATCCCTTCTTCGCGGGATCCGTAATGCTCTCGAAACTTTCTGGTCATCCATCGTTAGCAACCCATCGCGAAGAACAGCCTCCATCAGTAAAACACCGGCGACCATTCGTGCTCGCGGTTCTCGGACGCGGTGATGGGCATGTATCCGATAGGGGACGACGTCTTGAGACATTGAAAGCAATAATTAATCCCAGCGTTGTTGTCCCAGTACTGTTCGCCCTTGCACTGGAAACGGACAGCGAATTCCAGCCTTTGGCCCACGGACAACGTGTGACAGTAAAGAACGAACGAGAAAGTGTCGCTGAAACCGTCGCAGGAGTTGGGCACGTAGGTGGCCTGCAGGTCGCTGTAGTTCCTCCAGGAGTTCAGCGTGTATCTGATGTGCACGGACTTATGGAAGTCCAGATTGATCACCCGAACCGTCCCCTGGATGCTCAAAGAAATGGGATCCTGGACGAGAGCGTTCTCCAGACAGACTTTGCGCTCTCTAACAAGGTCCAGAAAGTTGGACATACCGCCTGGCTGCTGGAACAGTGGCACCAACGTTCTGTCCAACTTCCGGCCAGGCAGCACGCAGCCAGAAGATCGTCTAGTATCCGAGTATCCGTTTTCCCAGGTGTTTGAAACTGTGTTCACAGGACTGGTGTCCTTCTGGAAGATGTCGTTGTAAATCAAGTCGCTGTACGCCGAGTTAGGCACCTTCGGGATCTCGTCCAAAAACGTCCGGACGTCCGCCAGGTCCAAACCCAGCACGTCCGCGAATCTCACGATCTTCTTCCTTCCCGGAGTCCCCGGAGGTGTCTTCCCGGTCTTCAGCGAGGAGCAACGTCTGATCTTCTGCGGTCTCTCCTCCTCCTCCCCCTCCTCCCCCTCCTCCTCCTCCTCCTCTTCCTCCTGGATCGATTCCTCGACCTCCTGGTTGGGAACGGGGATGTCGACTCGGACAGCTGGACTGGTCGTCAGCTTCTGCAACAGGATGCACATCTTGTCCTCGTCGCTCTTGTTCGTCACGTTGCCATCCTCGATCTGCAGCTGGACCTCGTTCTTCAGCGTCTCCACGACCCTTTCGCCCGAGGAACACTCCAATGTTAGCGCGCCTGGTATGTTAATCATGCTACTGTACGTAGAATGGTCGCCCTGCTCGTTGCCAGCGGCTTCTTCGACTTTCAGAGCGCACAACTCCGGCGGCCCGGCTTTCGGGCTTTCCTCGTCGTACGGCAGGTCGTCCTCGTTCGTGTTCTCCGAGGAATCCGGTGACTCGTCCTTGATCAGATTTCTGGCATTCTTAATGTCCTCCAGCTTTCCATTCTCCGAAATCCCGTTCACGAAGTCGACCTGGTCAACGCCGAGCTGCGTCTCCTCGTCGTTCCGCGAGATCAGTATTCTGGGAGCATGAACGGGTATCTCCGAGTCAGAATGCGACTTTGGCAGCCGATTCTGCGGCACGCTCGGTGTAGAGAGGATTTTCGACGGTGTCTCATCCTGCAGGGACATAGTACTCTCGTCGAAAGTGCTCCATAGCGACTCGTGGCTCGGCGAGGTTGTCTCTAACGAGCTTCTCTCGATAGAGTCCTCGGAGTTAGGCAGAACTTCGTTGTTCCTGAGCTCCTGGACATTGTTTCTCTGCAAAGAGGAGCTAGACTCTGAGGTGTCCTCGGAATGCTGGTCCGCCGCGCTGACTTCTGGTCGCCTGCGGTAGACCAGGCCTTTGCCTTTCGTCGTTTCGCAGCCGTTCGAAAGATTCGAGGTGGTTACTTCGCTGTCCGAGGTGGTCACTGGATCGAAGTAGACTTCGTTCTTCTTCTCAACGTCCGAGGTCTCGGGGTCGAAGTAGAGCTCCGAAGAATCGCTGTCCGGCGATGTTCCGGTGATAGGCGACGCGAATACGCAGCCGGATTCTAGGTCTACGTTCGAGTGAATCGCTTTGGGACCATTAGTCGTACAGTTGCGGTCGCGGTGGTTCATCTTCAACACTTCTGGGTTGACCAGAAGGTCCGCTAATTCTGCAGCGGTAGCTTCCTCGGCCGGCGAACTGAGACCGTCCTCGATGTCGAGGTCAAAGTCGAAGCAGAGATCTGTTTTCGGACTGTGGCGAGGTTGATGTTGTAGAACGTGATTGGTCGTCGCGTTGTTCGTTAGGGATTTCGATGTCGTCGAGGAGGGGCACAGCCAGGACGTTTCCTTGGGATTCGTGTCCGAGTTTTTCGGGGAATTGTCCTCGCTTCCTAGCGACGTTAGTCGACGATGAAGACGTCTGGCGAAGGCCTCCGCTCGACCGCGACAGCTGCTCGGGAACAAGGAGCTGACTAGACCGCAAGAAGGACCGCTGCCGTGGGCGCTGCCAGCCGAATCTGTGCTGCCCATCTCGAGGACGGACGAGCCGGATGACCCGGAGGCGTGCCGGCCCTCCGAGGGCGAGGTCGTCGTGCTACTCGGGTCTTCCGACTCTTGGCTTCCGCTGTTCGCCTAAAAAAAAAACACCAGAAAATACACTTTACCATCGAGGTTTTCATTAGTTATAACTAGTAACTTATCTCCTAGAACTTTCTCGATTGTAATCATTTTTTCGTTTCTTAATCTCTGCTGGGAACGAAAATTTATGTTTATTGTGAGCGTTCAGTTATTTGAATTATTAACCCTTAACTATCGTTGCCTCTCCACGAGACCGCTATTAATTACTTATTCATTTGTGGTGATTGTAAGAAAAATTAAAAAAAGAAATGAAACTATTCAATAAACTTGCTTCTTCATCATTAATGTGCAAAACAAGAGCAATCGATTTTGTGTCCACCACATAACGTCGACGGCCTGTGAGACCGCTAATAGTGTTACGTAAGTTTTAATGGATGTAGTAGTTAAGGGTTAAATACAGCACTCTCTCCCAGAAGTTCGCTGTACGGAGCTGTAAGAAAATATGTTGCATGAAAATGGAGTATCAGTAGATTCCCTTCGGAACGTGGAAAGTGAAACAAACAGTTGCTCCACTAAAGATGTATATCACTTTCGGTATGCATGGAACGAACTATTAGCTGTTAGAAGAGTTGCTTTTCAAATACATACGAACAGGCTTCCTTACTCAGTAGCGGAGATAGCGTTCGCAAGCGACGAAGGAGAATGCGAATTACTATAAAGCGAATTGATAACAAGAGCACCGAATTTTATTTCGACTTCAAAGAATGGAGTAAGATTAGACTACGAATTAGACTCATCAAAGTACAAGTGGTTTATTTCAATTATTTCCATTTTTCAATTATTTAAATTATTACAATTATTTCAATTATTTCAATTATTTCGTTTACTTCGTTTATTTCGTTTATTTCGTTTATTTCGTTTATTTCGTTTATTTCGTTTATTTCGTTTATTTC